TGGGGCCCTTGTGTGCTAGCTCACTTGTCAGTGTCTTGGTACAAGTCCAGGTAGAAAGTTGATGCTTTCCATTTTGGAAAACTCTGCTCCCTTAAGTTATAATAAACTGTTTGGTTCAGATTTCATTGGAGATTCTGTGTCGTCTGAAATAGGCATCTTTGTTCCTGTAAATATCCAAAGAGCACTATTTAGTGAAGTAGGATTGTTCAATTAGAGAAGCAGTTTGCTCGTGCTGGCTTTAATTTAAGCATATGGTTCATCCTTTGTTGTCTTTTTTCCAGTTGTTCACTGTTTTCTTAAATAAGGGATTCAGGACTAAGACTAATTTTAGGCAGTTTGAAACAGGAGGCTGTATGTGTGGGTTTTACTTACTGCTCAGGGGCAGAAGAGAAAACATGATAGTATAGTAGCTAATTCCTAGCTATCGCATTTTAATATAGATACTTGTTTACTTTTTTGTATATTTTCAATTACAGAAGTGTTTCTCAAAACTAACACGCCTATTAAGAGAAACATACATCCAGGCTGGATGTGGCTCTGGGCAGCCTGGTCTGCTGGTTGGCGACCCTGCACATAGCAGGGGGTTGGAACTGGATGAGCTTATTCAACTCAGGCCATTCTATGATTTTATGAGTTTACCCACAAAATTCTGCCCCAAGCATAAGCTAAGCTAGAACAGGCATGTTTCTCCTAGCGAATTTCCACCTCAACAATCTTAGGCTGCCTAGGTAAGAATTTGATTCTGGGAATTATTTCAGCTTCTTTCCCAGACATGTCCACTACTGAAAGTTGAGCTGTATAACAACACCTTGGATGCACTTTGAGGTATAGTAGTTAATCCTTAAAAAATTTGGCTGTGTAAGCATGTCTAGGATGCTCATCTTATAACGGATAATCTTGCCTAACAGTATCTCAACATCAGCACTATGTACACAGCTGTTTTTCTTCACTTGCATAGCCTTTGAGGCCCACTCAATGGAGTATTGCTGTCTTGGTTTATAAGAATATTCCACATTTTTTTCTTATTTTATTTCAGGATTCACTTACATTGGAATTGCGTTTCACAGCAAAGATGGTAACTTTCCTGTTCTGTATTCTCTTGTCTGTGCTTAGGCCAAGTTACTACAACCACACTGACTGTTGGCAGACTTAGAGCAATAACGTGAAGTTTAAAATAAATAATAATTTAGAAAAAATTGAATGAATGCACTGCAGTGTTAAAGGTACTTCCTGAAAGCTACAACGTGACTTCTGCATGAAACTCAGCTGACTTCTTTTGAAAAGTAAAATAGCAAATTTCTTACATCCGTAGAGCTGTATTTTTTGTTTTTACCCTTTTTGCTGTGGTAGAATTCTCATATTAGCAGAAAAAGATCTGGCCTAAAAGTATATGATTGCCTTTGTGTGATAAACACTCCTGGTGGGGCTTAAGTTTACATTTCACTTAATTTCACAAATGAAAGTATGTCCATCTGCAAACAGTGAACGTAATTGATGATTTGAGATTTCTAGGATAGTGGTTGATTAAAATTAGGAAACTTGATCTGTATATAATAATACTGAGAAGAGGAGATGAGTAAGAGAGGAAGAACATAGTATCAGTTATCCATCCAGTTTCTTCAGAAGCCTGTGGTATTTAAATCTTGAATAGCGATGAGAAACTCTGCGAGCCTTTGTGAACATCTGGCCTTCTACTGCCCTACCTAATGCACTCTGCATTAACCAGCTTAGTTTGTATGGAACGCTTTAGTTTGAGAGATCTTCTGTTCAACAGCCATTCAAAAATAGTTTTTGCAAAATAGAGGCTTTGCCTTATGCACGGGTTAATTAGTACTTTGTTAGTGTCTGACGATGGTCTTGCTATTGAGCGACTACCAGAATCTGGGTGCTGTTTGGACTTGCTTCTGTTTTGCCAGCTGGAACAGGGCCGAGTCCAGAAGCTATTTAGGTTTGAAACTTGAGGGAATATTCCCCATCAGAGTTGAAGCTCTTAGGGAATCCTTGCCATCCTGAGCTGTTTGTCATCCAAATGACCCCTTTGGTATGTTCTAAGAAATTGGCTGGTGTCCTGAGAGCTTCGACAAATAATTGTAACATTAAAAATATATTGCTATTAAATTCCATATACCAAACATTTATTTAGTTGCTTTCTTGATAACTGGAAAAAAAGAAAAAGTATTCAAAGCAATGGACAAAAAGCTTTTGGCTTTAATAGTGCTTGAATTCCCAGTATCCTTAAGATCCAGTTCGTTTGGTGAGAAACGGAGCTCCACAAAGTGAGTAAATCTTCTTGGACCAGGAGTAACGACTGCTAAATTATTTCTGCTGCTTTTTAATTCTCTCCCTTTAGAGCTCTGTCTTGGATGGCAGCCAGAATATGCAAGTTGGAAGGTGAGTTAGTTTTTTATGATGTGAGTGAGTCCTGGGCGTTACACTGAACGTAGTAAGCAGTAGAACAGATGCTGGTTCTTTTGGTCTGTTCTCACTTTTGTTTTCTGTGCACGGAAGCTTTAAACTCATAAAGGTAATCAAATCAGTAGATTACCTAAGGAGGCTCACTCTTAGTAAGGGCAGTAACTCTGGAAGGATGTACAGCTGTGGAACGGGTAAGATGTTGAAATCCAAAAGTTTGGAATTCTGTATTCCAACTATTGAGTGCTGACAGGGCCATGTGCAAAACTGGGTTTGTAAAATACTGGTGTAACTGTACGAAACTATTTCATCATTATTGATCTTTTTATTTTGCCTTGTACCAGACCTCTTTTATACTCTGTTAGACTGTGATGTAGGTTGATCATTTGATTAAAGGTGTGCATTTTATCAACTTCACTTAGCCATTTTAGCATAATTTTCATCTCTATGTAGCTATTGGATGCCAGAGAAAAGGAATGTAATAATCAGTACTGAATTCTAGTATATACAGGAATGCTGGTATAATGTCTGTGCTGCGTATCACGAGAGAACATGTGAAAACACTTGGCATCAGTAGCCAAGAAGCTCTTTGCAGGGTCCAGTGCTTGCTCAACAGTGGGATGGAGTGGAAAAACAACTGTGAGGGATTTATGTGCTCTCTGCTTCTAACAGTCAACGCTGGATCTTCACTGTTTCAGTGAAACAGGCTTTATGTAATTTCCAGTTAGGCAAAGCACAACTGTTTCAAACTAAGCTTGAAAATGTGCCTCTTTCATGTAGCTTTGTGTTAACAAAGGAAGTAATGCAGGTTTGTTTGTCTTGAAGGTGTTTGGGGCAGATGTAAAACAAGGGCAACAAGAAAGAAAATGGGAGAGAAACTGGGGGGTCATGGTAGGAGGCTTAGGGAAAGTATTTTGGGCAAGTAAGTAGGAGTAACTGTCATCATTTCTTAGTCTGAGGTTAGTGTGAAGTAGTATCAATACAGGATTAGCTATGCAGAGCACAGCCAAGTCTTCTGATGAGTCTTGGTCTTTCCCATGGCTTAGAATTGGAGAGGCTGTTTGGTGTGGCCAAACTGTTGTTCCTTAAATGAAAGCAGTCAGCTAACTGAAATAGTTGTTCTGAGTGGGGTAAATTCTCTAATGTGCATGAGGGGTCTTAAAGTAAAATAATTGACTAAAAATCTCAAGTAAGTAATCCTGGTTACAGAGGACTTGTATTGTTTTATCAATTAGTGCTGTTAGCTTTATAGGAAACTTCTGCCTATGTTCCTAGAAAACCGTGGATATGGTAAAACACTACTGTTCTAATTAATGGGATAGAAAACAGTAACTAATGGTCAGCAGTGAAAATTTTATAGCATTCCAGCATTTTTTACATGAATTTTTTTAGGTAGCACACATTAGATTTAACAGGCTTTTTCAAGCAACTTAATGTCATTTTGCTGCTCACAGTTTTGTTGTGTTATTGCTAGCCAGATCATGTCAACAACCCAACAGTTAGAGAACAGATAACACTGGATTTCATCCTTCCTTTTTGATAGCAAATAGCTGATTTCCTTTTCAGTTGGGAAGACCCACCTCTAATTATGTTTGAGAAGTATTTGGGACCACGAAACTTAGATTGGTCTCTAAGAAGCAGAGGGAGCTGGAGATAATTTGTTATTGTTCTTGAGATCTGTTATAAGAAGGTAGGAGACTGAGCTTGACTTGTGGTGGTTTGTTGTGATGCTTGACTACAATAATTACTTTTCTGACTTATTTTTCAGGTTACTATCGTACAGAAAGAGATAAAGGGACACAATATGAGCTCTTCTATAAGAAGATGGATGGCATGGAGTACAGACATGTCACGTTGTTCCGACCGTTTGGACCCCTCATGAAAGTGAAGAGTGAGACTGTCGATATTTCTAGATCAGTCATTAACATTATCGTCCCTCTTGCTGGAAGAACTGAAGCATTTGCACAGTTCATGCAAAACTTCAGGTAGGTGCATGAGATTATGTAGTGAGCTATGTTGCTGACTTGAAGGATTTCATTTTGAGAATGAATTTCTTTTCTGACAGATTTGTGACAAAACTAATCATTCCAACATTGCGTGCAGCTGCCTGGGGATGTTTGTAATTTCATCCTATTGCATGGAGAAAATTTTCTTTCCAAAAGGAATTGAGGAATTCACAGGCAGCACCAAACCCCTCTTAGAGTGTATGACGGGGCTGTTGTGAGCCTGGGCACACATGTTGTTGAACATTTTTGTGTTTTCATCAACTTTTGAGCTCCTGTGTATTGGATCTTTGTGGTTCAAACATAAAAATGGGGGAAGATGGGGGGGAAAAATTTGCTTTCTTCAGTCTGACCAGAATACGTACATCTGGTAATACATCTAAACACAGTATTTTTAAAGCATCTGAGGGAGCTATAACAGTGTAAGCCGTAATTAACATCAGCTCATTTTCCTGCTTCTAGGGATGTGTGCATTCATCAGGATAAGCGTATCCACCTCACAGTGGTGTACTTTGGACAAGATGGTCTATCAGAAGTAAAAACGATTCTAGACTCTGTATCTAGGTAAGTGTGTCAATACAAACTTTTAAAATCTTCTCGTTAAAGATTGAAACAATACGAAGAAGCAGTTTGCTGTCAGTTGCAGGCTAGTAGGAAAATAACTTCATTTTGGTTGACATTTTACAGCTGAAGTTGCAAAATTCTCCTTAAGACCACTAAAAATCAAGTTTCACAAATCAAGGTGAGCAGCAGTGGCTTTGAAGTTTCAGCCTGACAGAGTGAAAAACTACAGGGCTGAATCTTGCTGTGAACATTCAGTCATAACAGCAGACTTCTAAGAGTTGAAACTTTTTTTTGAAGTGGACTCTGGATAGTCATTTCATTGGAAAATGGGTTTTCATGTAATGGTAAGAAAGAAAAATGATTGGCATCAGTAGTCAAGGGAGGTTAGTCAGCTGCAGAGTCTGAGCAGTTGAGTTTCCCTCTCGGTCCTCCAGGTAATATGTAGTGAGTCCCTTTTCCTCTGCTGTAAAACAACTCTAAATGAAGTATTTTGTCATGACTATCAGAGCAAATAGCTGTATTATAAAATTGCTACGTGTTGCTTTTTTTGTTGTTGTTCCAAGGGTAAGTATAATCAGTGAAACAACAGCCCTGCCTCACCTTTGGGTTGGTTAGTAGTGTCTGTATTGTCTAACTAAGGAGCTCCTGTTCTGGCCTGAGCTCTTGTTCTTTGTTCTGAGCCCATGACCAATGTTATGAGCCCATAAAGTTTATGAACTTAGAATGGGCACAGACAGCATTGTTACTGCCTTAAAATGTCACAGTCAGTTGATCTGGCATGCATGGAAATTTTTTAGGAAGCAAGGAATGCTTCTGTCTTACTCCCATAAAGCCTGCATGACACACAGCCTGCAGAGTGCTGGCTGCTTCTGTTTCTGGGGCACTTTCTGCCACCTGCTGTGTTCCTTGTGAGACTTGCTGTTCCTCTAACAAGAAGTCAGGCTCAGAGTGGCAAACTCACAAAGCAGGTCATTACCTGATATCTTTTCAGTGGTATTACTGTTGAGTATTTTCACTCTGTTCTCTTCAGGAATTTTCCTCTGAATCAGACACACGCTTTGCCTGAAAACATTTGTTCCTCAGATGTATTTCCAACCCCTCGTTGCTTTTCCTTTGCTCTCATGCTAAGAGCTCGAGCATGCACACTACTGGTCTTGAAAGAGCAATGGAAAGCAAATTGACTGGGTCGTGTTGGCATCGATATATAGATGACCTTTTGTCACATGAGTTTGGTGGGAAGCTTTGTGTTTGTCCTCCTCTCAGACTTGGTGAGGATGTTAGAGGAACAGACAAAGCTGTTGCCTTAGGAATTTAAAATAATACGAGTAACCAGAAGGCCTCTTAAATCTGTTTGAATGATTGTTGTAAAGTGAAGTTAGGGAATAAGACTTTTTGCACTGTGTGCAGTCTGCTACTTGAAACACACAACTGAGTGGAACTGATATTCTTTTCTCATCCTGGTGTGTTATAATAGGATTTTCAAAACAGCTTCCGGAGTGACGTTACTGTGAAATGCTGAAAAAGTATAAATAGGCCCTTCTGACCCACATAAGGATTAATTTTGGGTTTGGTTTGATTTTCCTTCTAGAGAAACTAACTTCCACAATTACACGCTCGTCTCTTTGAATGAGGAATTTAACCGTGGCCGGGGACTGGACATGGGTGCCAGAGCCTGGGAGAAGGGCGAGGTCCTGATGTTCTTCTGTGATGTTGATGTTTACTTCACAGCCGAGTTCCTCAACAGCTGTCGCTTAAATGCTGAGCCTGGTAAGTTCCTTTAAGTTGTCTTGGTTAGCTTCAACTGATCTGAATTGCATGTACAGAAGGCAAACTTGAGCGATGGACCTTAATAATATCATGCAGCTAGGACAATGAAAAAATACTCTGTGCGCAAAAAAGAAAAAATATTTGATGGAGAACTTCTTTACATTGAGGGTGATGGAGCACTGGAACAGGCTGCCCAGGGAGGTTGTAGAGTCTCCTTCTCTGGAGACATTGAAGAGCAGCTGGACACCTTCCTGTGTGACCTTATGCAGAGAACATGCTTTAGCAGGGTGGGTTGCCCTCAATGGTCTTCAGAGGTTCCTTCCAACCCTTATGATTCTGTGCGTGTTTAGACTGAGAAATAACTTTTGCCTTAGGGTAGCTTGTCTGAAGAATGCACTGTACTTTTTTGTACAATGAGTGCAGTTTTCACATTCTTTCAAGTTTTGGCAGTCTAAAAGAGAGCCGGACAATTGTTTTAGCAATCAGACTGCGTGTAAACTTGTGACAAAATGCAGTGCAGGGCTTATTGTGGAAAGTGATTTTTTTTTTTTTTGTTGAACCTAAGTCTCTAACAAGCTTTTCTTCTCATGCTTTCAGTTGTATTGCTGAGACACATCATGAGTGCTTTACGGTAGAGCTAAATAACATGGTCCTTGCAGGAACTGAGCTAGGGTTCTGCATTTCCCTCCTAAGTTCTGAATTATTCTGACCACTTTACCTGACTTAGAGGCTTATTCTGCAAGCTTTTGCAAAGATGGATAAAGCTTTCTTGAGTTAATAAGCATGCTAGTTAAGGCCTTCTCGTGTCAAATATTGGTGTTGTTTCTTAATGCTTAGCGTTGTTCCAGATTTCTTGTGGCCAGAAAACTTTCTCCAAATGTCAATTTGGAGCGAACTGGTAACTTCTCAGATAATTCACAGACAACAGAGTGCTATAAGGCAGATGTTTGGGTTCTAATTTCTCTTTGCCTCCTGTCTCTGTGCTTAGTTAACTGAGTTGTATATGTAATTGGAAGAACTTGGGAATGCCTCGTGAGCTTTCTCATGAAAGGGATTTTGCAAGACTGTTTACTAATTTATGCTGACAGTTTGTCATCTCTGCTTCAAGGAGATCTGAAACAATTTAGTCCACATTCAGAGCTAATATTCAAATCAAGGTTCTGGGAATTCCTGTGGGCTGCCAGTGTTAACCTTTAGATGACTGGCTTAGCAAGAGGTTTTTGAAGGACTTTATCAGGCTTTGGGAAAAGGCACGGAACTGGTGTCTTAATGTTCAAGATGGTCAAAATAGTAAATGTTCTTTTAGAGAGCATCTTGGAAATGTGCCTTTATTTGCATACCCTGCATGTTATGACCTTGCCTCTTTGCAAATGTTACATGCAATTTGGCCTTCAGTGCTTTTGTAGGTTTACTGTTAACCATTGGAAGACGTTGCAGGGATTTTTTTTATCAATGTCTTGATGTATACATGCACAGTCATTATGTGAAGATTATATATAGTTGTACATAAAGATGTATATCTAAGAATAGATGTGTACATGTTTTCCCTAGCCAACCCCCCCACCTCTTGCTCACAAGATGCCAGACTTCCTGAATGGAAAATCCTAGCAGTTTGACCTTAGATTTATTTGTTTTCATGTGATGGCTAATAACGGATTTTCCCATTTCTTCTTGCCTTCCAAAAGGGTGCTCACAGTGAGTAACAGTTACCTTTTGACTTGTAGGAAAAAAGGTTTTTTATCCTGTGGTATTCAGCCTCTATAATCCTGCTATTGTCTATGCTAACCAAGATATACCACCCCCTGTGGAACAACAGTTGGTAAGTAGCATGATTTATTCTGAATGGGATCAATTGTGCTTTGTATTAAAACAGAATTAAATGGAACTTAATGGTCTGTTTGGAATATCTTGTAACTTTGAGCAGAGTATATATCAACATTGTTCTCCATTATGGGCAAAGCATTTGGGAAGATAAGCTTATCAAACTGTACAAAACTCATTCTTAAATGAGCTTGGAGTTCTATTTAAATCTTAAATGTATAATTAATCAAGTGAAGTTGGTAGCTCTTGACCTGCTTCTTATTATAGGATTTGAAAGTCAATACTTCAGGGGACGGGAGCATAACATGGCAACAACTTTGCTCCTGTGCTCCAGCAAATAGTTGAACTGAAAGGAGGAAATACTGCTTTGTAAGCTTCTCTTGCTTCTGAACTGCAGTGTCAGGAAGTGTGCCATGTAACTCCAGGTAGGAAAGGTGTCAGTGGCAGCTCTTCAGCTGTATGAAGCTGCATTCACTACAAATAGTTTCTTTTCTGTTGTTACCCAATTCTACCAGGATTGTTGGATTTTTACACCACTAATTTCATCTTGCTTTTGGCATGAGAAACACTATTTCTAGGTAACTTTTAATGTAAATAATACACAAATCTCACAAATAATCAGTAGAATAGGTTTAAGAATAATGTGCACAAGTGTTGTGTGTTGGAATCTTTGTTGCCTATCAGTGGAATGGCTGTAGAAAATGTCCGTGGTTAAACTATTTAAAGAGGATACACAAGAGGAAATGGGGAGTTAGCAGTTGGGACTTGTGAGGTTAAAAAAAGATTTGAAGAGGGAAAGTGAAGAGCAACACAGCTTTAGTGAACATAATTAGTCTTCCTCAGTCTTCTGAGAAGGTAAGTGTTATCTGGAAGCCTTCAGAAAATAGAAGGGAAGCTTTTGGCCTCAGGTAGTCGCAGCTGAAAGTGCATTTCTTGCTTGAAAGCTGTTTTATTTGCTTATTCCAATCCAAAACTTTTTGGTAACTGAATTCAGTAACCTTAGTTATCTTAACTGAAGGGGTAAATCTAGCATTAGAAACTGAATAGTAATTGCAGTCCCAGGAACAGATGACTTGGCTATGGGCTATAAAAAATTTACTGCTTGGTCTGACTAGGTGTGTAGGAAACAGGTGTGTTAACACTGAGAAGCACAAGTGACAACTGCAAAAGAATGAGTGCTTGGAATTGGGTGGGAAGAGCTTAAGTAATGAGAAAAGCCACATGCTCAATATGTGCTAAGACAGAATTACTACAAGCATGATATGCTGCATCCTGCACCAAGCAGACAATCAGAAGAATTTAAGGTTCTGCTAAACCAGGTGTAGTGTCTGTCCTTTGGTGTATGTTGCATTTCAGAAAGCTGTTGTGTTAAACTTGTAGGTACACAAGAAGGATTCTGGTTTCTGGCGAGACTTTGGCTTTGGGATGACTTGCCAATACCGGACAGACTTCCTAACTGTCGGTAAGAAAAAATGGGGGGGAGGTGTTCAAAAGCTGATTCTCTGTTCTTATCTGACTGCAGGAAATTAACGCGATCTTTGCCAAATCCGACATTCTGATCTGCTGGCTATCAAGTTAGACAGAAATCAGATGTTTATAGATTTTCTGTTCCATCTGACTTGTGTGCTAGAAGCTACGATATTTGTTATTATTGTGTATCACTCAAGCCCCACACTTTATTGAGACTGCTTGTCTGTCTCAAAATCACAGTCTAAGAAACACATCTCAAGTTAACCTATAGCAGAAAAATATTGCAATTCTTTCTTCTAAGTAAGCTTGATTAGTTAAATATTTTCAAGACTTTCCAAATGTGCTTTGGCACCCTCTTGTGGCACTCTCTTAAAACTGCGAACAGCCTGATGATTACATTTGGAAGGCTCTTGATAATCTGCTAGGAGGCATAATGATATAGACCTATTGGCTGTCTGATGATTTGCATGCAGGCTAATTTCCAATAACAGGCACGCTGTGTATAAGTTAAATGAAGACTGGATGATTTTAGATGATTTGTATGCAAGTGTGAGCTGTTTTCACTGTGGTCTTGGAAAGGCAAGAGAAATGTTAAAATGGTGGAGTAGATTGCTTTTCTTGTGACCTGTGGAGTAATTGCTGGCTTTTTTAGAGAGGGCTTTTGCAGTAGTGCATGACTGCCTCAATTTCCAGCTGCTGAAATCCATTATGATTGCTAAAAATAACGAAAAAAAGCATGTAGGAAAATGATGCTGGACGATTTTCTGCAGCTGTCACATGGGTGTCATGGTTAATGTGATTTGGGTGCTCTCTTGTAAGGGACTCTCTGAAGCCAGCAGTGCATGATCTATGTCCTGGGCAGTGCCACCACAAAGATGTTACGTGTTTGAAGCTTTCTGCTCTCAATCTGGCATGCTTTGGCACGGAGTGGTTATAGTTAATTGCTCCAGAATGTCTGGCATGTCATATAAGATGGCGTGATATGTGAGGAGTGTTGCTCTTTTTACCTTGGGAACAACTTGTGTGCGAAAATAACGTTTTCTGATACTGTTTTTATAGGGGGTTTTGACTTGGAAGTGAAAGGTTGGGGCGGTGAGGATGTTCACCTTTACAGAAAGTACTTGCATGGTGACCTTATTGTGATCAGGACGCCGGTCCCTGGTCTCTTTCACCTCTGGCATGAGAAACATTGTGCGGATGAACTCACTCCAGAGCAGTATCGCATGTGTATCCAGTCCAAAGCCATGAACGAAGCTTCTCACTCGCACCTCGGGATGCTGGTCTTCAGGGAGGAGATTGAGACTCACCTCCGTAAGCAGGCTTACAGGACTAACAGCGAAGCAGTGGGTTAAATGGAGCCCTGTGACAGGGTGAAACCGATGACTTTGAATCTGCAATGAACCAGCATCGTTTTACGGCCTTAATTCAGCTTAAAAATGCAGTGCCTCTCTTTTTCAGTGAAGAAGAGTTTAAGGGTTTTTGGTTCTTGTATTTGTTTTCTGAGCAATTGTTTGACTGATACTATTTCCCGCGTATCTTGCAAATTCAAGCACCTCAAATAAGAAATTGGAAAGCATATGTAGTTCAAAGAAAGCATCTTCAGTGTCGACTGGAGAAAT